TGATTGGACAAAATGAGGATTTACTATTTTTGCATGCACTGCTTTGCACAGCTCTTAAAGAACACTTTGCTAAGGACAAGGACTATAAGGTAGGCTTCCACAGCTCCTTCGGGTCAACTTTACAGCTGTGCTTTTATGGTATTGGTAACTTGCATGTGTGCCCTAGCCAGATTGTCTGGGGAGAGGAAGAGAAGAAGGATAGAAATTCAATATTTTGCCTGGTTTAGGGTTTTCATGGCTGGGGTTTCCATTTTCCAACAATCCTCAAATGCCATCTAGTGGTAAAAGCTATTTTCTTTTTCCATTTCAGCTTTACAGAGAGAGAAATACAACTGAAAAAAAAGGAGCTCTACAAAGTCATGGTAAGACCTGCCTGGATTTTTTTTCTCTTTCATTTCTTTTTCCCTGTAGCTGAGTACTCCTTAAAACATGTACATAGGTAGTGTGCAGTAATGTTACTCTTATTAAAACAGCTTGTCAGGGCACCTAACTTGGCATGTGTCATCGCCTGATCAAATGTGATATGCTGATGAAAGGGCCATTAAGTTCAAAGGAGACTTCTGAGGATTTCCCTGTAAAACCGCACGGTTCAAGGCACGCCATCACCAGCTGAACAACTTTTTGGAGAACCCCCATGTTGTTGCAAAACTAGAAGCAAGCAGCAGTCGGTTCCTGAGAAACCCAGAAAGAGAAAGGAGCAGCTAGAGGTCTGCCCTCAAAAATCCTGCAGTGCAGCAGGGCTGGCTCCAGCAACCCATATGGGCATAATGTACAAGGATCTGAGATACTGAGTACCAAGCCTACGGATCCCATGAAAACGAAAATCTCTATGTCACTTTTCTGGCAGATAATGTTTGTAGCCACTCCTCAGAGTGGCTCCTGTTTAAATTGTAAGATGACTTGGCGGAGCAAGAAGGCAGTATAAACGCTTGTGAAATCACATCCACAGAAGCCTTTAACCTCTCAGAAGATTGACAAAGCAATTGCCTCTATCAAAAGAGGTTTAAGGAAGTGCTGCTCTTGAGCACTGTGCATACAACCCTTTACTGAAACACCAAACAAAATTAGAGAGCCGTTTCTCTTCTGGGATTCCCTCATTTTCCTCATCCTACAGCAGCACAGGGCAGTCAGTTCAGCTAATTCAATGCTACACATAAAGTGACAGACACTGTGGGCAAGCAGGCTGTATCTGTACTAGCGAACAGATGTATGGAGAGGCAGAAAGTTGAGAAAAGCCACTGAGCTGAGTGAGTAAGCTGGAAGGGTTGGGGGGAGCCCACGGTTCATTGGCAAAGGTGGGTTGTATGAAAAGTGCAGCAGCAGACAGGGAGAAAGGGCCAGGCAGGTCCATTGCTATAATTCATTGCAGACTAAGACAGAAAGGTCTTAATGATTTGCTGATGTAGGACTATGACGTGACCAAACCATGGAGACTGTGATGACAAAGATGGCCTCAGGCCCCCCTCCCCCCCCCCCGCTTCTTCGTCATCAGAACCTGGGGGTCGACAAGGCCAGGTCAGGTACACAGGAGCTGGAGGGTCCAGCCCTGCTGAAACCTGTCCTGTCAGAGGGCAACATCCTCATGTGTCTCATCTCACAGCTTCAGCACCCCAGCGCCCTTTCTGTCCCAAGTGCTTCCCATGTTGTGGTCAGCTGGAGTGATGCCCCTGCTGCTGAGACTCTGACATTCTGCAGGCTGGCAGAGGCCACCATGTGGCTCCCAGCTGTCCCCAAGTGGCTACATTCTGGTTGTAGCGGGTTAAGGCACTCAGCTCCTGCACGGGGTGAACTTGTCACACGAGAACTGTCAGAAGAACACAGGAAGCAGTAAGCAATGTTTCAGTTCTCTGCGCTACCCCTCAGGAGAAACAGGAACCTGGAAACAGCCACAGGTGAGGACCACATCCTCCCCGGGGGTAGGGGAAGGAGGGAGTGCGGAGAGCAACCCCGGAGGCCAAGTGTGCTGGTCTGGTGGCAGCTCTTTGTAACGTCCACGTGGCATGAGCCTGGGGAAAGAGCGAGCGGAGTTAGAGCTCTGTGTCCTCACTCTGCTTACCCTTCCTGGTCCTCTCTGCCAGCTGTGGGTGCCTCTCATCCACTCCTGTGGCGTGCACAGTGGTGTTTTCTTTCCAGCAGGCTTTGGACTGGTGGGAGCTGTTTGGGGAGGAGTGCTGTCCTGTGCGTCCTCCCTTGGTCAGACCATCTGTGCTTGAGCAGCCCTGTTGCCCATGCCTCCCACAGGCCATTTCACCCTTCTTCTGCTATCCCCTGCCCTTTGGCTGCAAAGACCCCTGTGCCTGAAATACTCCCCTCCCTTTAATATGGTAGGTGCTGGAGCCAGGCTTGTATTTTCTGTTTAGCTGGATTTAGACACCACCTATGCTTGCAAGTGTGTCTATGTCACCCTAGCGGAGCAAGGAGTGCGGACACGGCAGCTGTAACAGTAGCTCATCAGCCCACGTCACGATCCAGTAAGACCATGAGACCACAGGCAGCAAAGGGGCAGGTTCAGTGGCCATGAGGGGCCAGACTTTGGCCTTATCACAAAACCAGAGAAGAGCTGAGGCCTTAGGCCTACGTCTGAACCATTCACCAACTAACATGTCTGTTTGGCAGTCAGTTGATTGTAGCGACAGCTGCCACCACCTCCTCCTTCAAACTTGACCATGCTGCACACAGATGGAAATTACACTCTGCGTATCCCATTCCTCCACCTTGTCTCCCTCTGTTCCCTTCTGCCACTGCCTGACAGTAGGATGTGGTAGAAAAACAGCTCGTGGTGACAGCCAAGGCAGCTGAACATGTTTCCACCAGCCAGCAGGGATGTACATCTCTCCTCCACCCCCTCAATTTTTAGCTGCTGTAAACCATTAGGAGTACACACTGTTTTAAGTGCTGGCATCTTTTTCTTTCTTTTGGCTGCTTAAACTTTATGATCCATTATTTTTAAAATGAAGTTTACAACGTGCAGTTCATAGGCCTATCATCAGGCAGATTTTTAATAAAAAGATAATGCAGTTCACTGCACTGAATGCAGTTCAATAAAAAGGAGCAAATGAAATCCCTACACTTTCCAAAGGTATCTTCCTTTTAGCTCAGCTCTCTTGTTTATGTATATGCATTAAGTAAAACCATCTGGATACACACAGAAGAATTACCTGAAATGAAGCAAGTGTTGATACAGTCAATACACTGACTCTTAGCTGGCAAGGCACAGCTTCCCAGTGAGACAGTATGGAGGACCAAAACTGAGGTCTGAAACAATGCTCTTGATTTTAGCATCTCTTAGGACTTACTGTCCACATTGGAGCTTTATCCTTTTGTACAAAAATGCTTTAAAGCAGAGAAACTACATATATTTCCTGCTTTCCCTTTCAGCTGGGATACAAAGAGTTGCAGATTTTCCTCTTGTCTGCTTTTGTAGGTCACCCTCTGGAGTTCAGGCATTGCATTCTGGCAGTTTCTGGTCAGAACGGTACTAAATGAGCTATGCATGAGCGCATGACCCAATTGCCTTTGCAGGAAAAAGTAGCATTCATGTTAAAATAACACTGCAACATGCAGTGATTTTCCAGCTTGCATGCTTTTGGGCTTATCATTTCTGAACAGGAGTCATTTTTCAGCAGCTGCAAGAAGCAAGTGAATAAGATAGCACTATCTCAGCTTCTGACTCATAGACTAAAAGTGTTGTGCTACCTGCTTTCCACAAGAGCTATTTAAGGTTTAAGTTTACTTGTGTTGGAGTGAGGTCTAACCTGAAACTTTTTGTAATCTTAGTTCACGCCTTAGTATGTAATAGCATGATGCCAAACAAACTATAGACTTCCAGAAGCTCCTGTACAGATTGCAATGGCAGAAATAGTCACCGTTTTGAGTGCTGAGAACAAAAACTTGAGAGGCAAAAAAGAGGATTCCCTTTTTTCCAACCACTGTAAAACAGGAAAGAGAAGCGCGGCTACAGTTTTGGAGGCTGCATCACTACACACTGGGCAAACTCAGAAGCTGTCATCCTCTTGGAGAATCTTTCATTTCTGTAAGAAGCAGCCCTCAAGGAAAGGCCAAATGAAAAAAATTGCATTTGTGTATAAACAAAACCTATACATTATTTCAAATAGTACGGTGAATACTCCCTCTGAAGGCTGGTGCACGACTAGGGACATACCTGCTAGCAGGGTTGGGTCTCCACGTTTGTAATACATTCACTATTGCCAGTATTATTCCAGGTTTTAAAACTATTACGTTACGACCTATCGTCATGTATTTCTTGATTCTGGAGCAACATGTAGAAGTGACAAAGGATACAAAGTTTACTGTTTGTTAGCAACTAAGAAGCCTTGTTCTCATCACAGACAAAACACAGTTAAGAAACGGAGCACAGTGAGGCACACGTTTCAAAATTATCATATGCAGATATGGCTATGGGGAAAAGTCCAAGAATCCTCTGTAGCTGCTTCTAGCAATCCCAGTATTAGAAATTTACTAGAGGAGTGAAAAACTACAATTCTTTACACAGGTTTAACACAGTAGCCTTGAATGCTGTTAAGATAGCTAAAATCAAAATACTTTCAGGACACTGCAGTTTCTAGCCAGGATACCCTGTCATAGCATAGACTGAGAAATCTCAAAGAAAACTAGGAACGAAAAAATGTGCTAAAATTGCATTATGTTCTATGTCGTGTCACAGGCAGTCTCCGACTAGAGTGCCAACCACCCCAGCAGCGCCACGGTGTGGAAGACAAACATAAGCGTCCAACGTCCAGCGTTTGGATCAAACGCAGATGCTGGGTTAAAGCCGTTTAAGGATCCTGACTGCTTTCAGCCCTGAGGTTGGTTTCACGCCTGCTGTAACACCTCATTTCTCCTCAGCGGTGCCTGGGCACCGCCCAGAATCACGCAGCTCCCACGCAGAGTAACCGCTGCCCTGGCACGGGGCCTGCCAGCAACCTCGGGGGCAACCAGCTAAACATTTACGAGTTTTAGCTGAAGGTTTCTCCCTTTAGCCTTCGCTCCTCGCAGCTGGTTTTATCGGGCGCTCCCTGCCGCCGCGTTAACGGCTACAGTAACGAGCGGCCGTTTCTGCGTTGGGCCGCGCCGCGCCGCGCCGCCGGGACCCTCAGGCGTCG